TAAGATCCTTTTTTGAGGGGGGTTTCTGTTATGTTATCAGAACTGTATTCAGAAATGTGTATATACACTCTTCTGCAAAAAAAACATCGATGCACCAAGAAGGACTTTTACTACCGTGACGAAATTTGGTATGCAAAAATATCTTGATCGAACATGCAAATGATCAAAGTTTCAAGGTAAATGAACAGGAATTGCGATCATAGCGCACATTTCTAGTGCGCTATTCGCAAAGTATAAAACCAGCAACAGAGGCAGTTTTTTTTTTTTTTTTTTTTCTTTGTTGCTGCCATAGTAATTTCATAAAGAAGCAAATAAAGGTGCCATTATGGCAATATCAAAGACCTTACAGACAACTAAAGGAATTCAAACTTGGTCACATTGTAGGCTTGCGTGAAGCTGGGTAGTCGTACTGAGCAATAGGCCGCCATCTGTATGCTGTGCAAAGATGTTGGCAGCAATGTTTGCTACAAGGCAATTGATGAAATGAAGGCTCTGAAAGGCCAACAATCACAAAAAACGAGGCAAGATAGGATGATTGTTCGCCAGCCCCGAACCACCCCAACGGCATCATTGTTGACTATTTAGTGCACTACAACCACATCTATAACTCCTGTGGAACCGTCCACCATCTCATGGCACTTGTCTGAGGCGGAGTTAGGCTCACAGAGGCCTTAAACATGTTTGCCTTTGATCCCACAGCATCGGCATGTGTCTGGAGTGGTGTCACAGTCGATCATCATGGCTGCCATCAGACTGGCATAGTATACAGTTCAGCGACGAATCCTGCTTCACTCTTGAAGCATATGACCACCGTGTTCCTGTCTGGAAAACATGGATCAGCGGTCCCAATCAGCCTTTGTTTTACAAAGGCATACAGCCATAACCCCTGGTGTGATAGTGTGGGGTGCTATTTCTTATGACAGCAGGTCATCTTTAATCATCCTATGTACATCATTATCATGCGGTCGGTTGCATTATCCATCATGGCATATCATCCTGGGGACATTTTTGAACAAGATAATGCCAGGCCACATATCGCTCGCATATTTTTAGACCATCTCTGTGCAGTTGATATTCTTCCTAGGCCAGAAGGTCACCAGACCTTTCACCAATCAAGCATGTCTGGGACATGGTAGGTCGCCAAATTCCGGCACCACAAAATATCGCAGATCTAAAGTGACAACTGATGAATGCCTTTCAGAATGCGTCGCAGGATGACATTAGGAACCTCTACCACTCCTTGCTTGACGAATTCAAGCATGCACTGACACCAGGGGCGGTTCGATCAACTACTAATTTGAACACTCAGTGGGTGAATGTGAGCTGTGAACAGGTACTATGACCTTGATTTTTTAATCATTTTATTATATGCATGTATGTATGTGCTCATGTACGCATTTAATATATGTACGTAAGTATATGTGTGTATACATACATCCAGCCATCCATCCATACATACATTTCTAAATCCAGTGCTGATAATAGAAGAGCATCCATAATTTTGTTATAGTATAAAAAAGAAAATCAGAGATATATTGTTTGATTAATTTTAACAAATATTACTTTGTACTAACGGACAAAGGAAGTTATCTTTAGCGAGAATATTCTTCGTAAAATCGGCTTTTGTTCACATAAGCAGGGGGAAAATCTCTGAATATCTCTATACATGCAATGCATTTTATATCTGCAGTGTGAAGTCTGATGAGGTAATTCCTTAAATCTTTGCATTTCCGTAGTGTCCCTAGAGAGAGAAAGGGAGAGACAGACCACTTTTATGCTTAATTTCAAATTTGCTACAGAGAATTTTAATCTATGAAAAAATTTAAAAAATAAAAATGAAAAATATTTTTTATCAAATAAATTCATCAAAAATATTTTTCAGAACAGTTTTAAATACTGATAGAGAAGAATTCTAAGTCAGTTTCCTTTCATAAGCAGATTTCATCTAAAACCACAATTATATAAAAAGGTTGAATTTTGCTTAATTTTAAATGAGATTGAATGCACAATGCACAAAAAAAGGGACAATTCTATATCTCCCGTTCTACCGGACCAATTGACGAAATTCAAATTGCATTTTTCATGCCTTGAAAGCGCGACTTAGAATATATATTACATTTATATACAGCATTGCTCTAACGGAAGTAAACTGACACAAAAGCAGAATTTTCTGAAATAGCATACCAATTTTTTTCCATATTTCGATTCTACGATTCAAATCATGTCTAGATATTAAATTTTGTAAAATTTGGTGCGAAATTTACAGAGAAATTCAAAAATTTATCTTGCCATAATTTTTTCAGTTTGCGCCAAGAATAATTCACTTGGCGGACTTTTTAATATATGGCAACCAGTTTTCCTTTCCCTTCCATTATGCCGAAGTGGTTCCTACCTTTTTACATTGCATGAGCAGGAAAAAAAATCGCACCGTTCTTACCTTCAAATAACTTTAGCAAAATGTCTAAACCACCCATACCACATTTGATGTTTTATCACTTTCAACAAATATGCCAAATTTCAAAACGCACCAATATATAAATTCATGTATATCATCAGAAATTTTGAATAAAAAAAATTGTTATTTTTTGTAGGTGTGCTTAGAAATACATCTATTTTAAGATAATGGTAAAAATTTATAGATATAATTTCAAAATTTTTTTTGAAAATTTTATAAAAATCATTGAAAAATAAAATCATAAAACATGGGTGAATTTTATTTGGAATGAACGTGAATTTTGAAATCTGAAAGGAAGAATCAAATAAATTTAATAAAAAAAAAGAGATATTGATAAATATGTACCAAACTCAATTAACATTGAGAAGCTAAAATTTTGAGAGCTAATTTTTAAAAACTACTCAATGCGATTTTTACAAAACTTATTAGTTTGGAGTAATCTGAGTCGTAGAATTGAAATATGGAAAAAAATTGGCATGTTATTTTAGAAAAAGTCTGATTTTGTGTCAAAATACCTATAATTAGAACAATGCTATATATAAAACTAAGGCATACCCTAAGTTGCGCTTTCGAGAGATAAAAAACGCAATTTGAATTTCATCAATCGGCCTAGTAGCATGGGAGATATAGAACTGTCCCCCCTTTTTTTTAATAAGAAAAATTTCATTATATATTAAAATTTTTTATTATTAAATTAATAAGAAAAAATTCAATTTGGATGGTATAATGTTTAAGAAAAGTTATTCTGAAATCATTAGAGATGGGGAGATGGAATTTGCCTAATTTAAATTTAATTAATTCAATCATTTACATTTGGTGCTAGGAAACGCTTTTCTTAGTAAAGGCTAAAAATTTTTAAAAAGGCAGATTTGGAGATCGACTAGGAAACATGAGGAAAAACCTTGTAGACAGATATAAAATTTGTATTTATATTAAATTCTGAAAATTTTTGTCTGAAATCTAAAATAGCAAGATATAGTATATAATCATGTTGGAAAACTATTATTAAAAATAATAGAAAATTCTATTTATTATTTTATTCAATACAGTTTTGAATATTCTGTTACTGGGAACGGATTCAGAAATGTATGTATATATAAAATATGTATGCATGCATGTATATATATATATATATGTTTGTGCATGTGTATACCTACACATACATACACTCATACATACATGCATACATAAATACTTTTCTGAATCTGGTTGTGATAACAGAACTGCATCCAATTTTGGTAACAATCAATTAATTAATATATATATACACACACACATATACTGCAAAGTTCATTTTAGACAAACTCTATTGGGCCACGTTCAGCAACTACTGTCACAAATACCAATTAAAGCTTCATTTTGACTGACTCAGCAACGGTCATCAATCACGAATCAAACAGCAGAATTCTAATGGAAGTGGTCGTCCATAATTGTTGATAAATAGCACTACTTGGCTAGTTGATGGGATAATACATAAGTACCAAAAATAGCAACTATAGTGGACAAGTAACAGCTTTTTAATAAATTTTTTTCACTCTGTGAGTCACACCACAAGTCACAATTTGATTTTTTTCAACACCAAGCATGCATCAAATATTTAAATACATTATTTAATGAAAATTTTGAAAACTAATGGTTTTAAAATATTGTGCTAAGAGAATTAAAAAATTACTTTTATAGTGATTAGAGGCATCAATACAAGAGGGTATTTCAGAGAAATAAATAAATAAAAGGTTAAATGCAATTAGTAAGGTTAAGTATAGCTAGTATGATGTCACATGAAAGGTCAATACTTTGTGGATTAGATGATAACTAGTACGATGCTAACATTGAAGCTTCAATGTTTTCTTTTCAAGATTTAGATTCAATTGATCATTTTTGATGAGATTAAATATAATGGTGATTTCAATAGAAAATTCAATACTCAGATTTATGTAACGAAAAGAATTCTAGTAGACAATCAAGTTTTTATAGACTTCAAGGATATATGATTTTTATAACTGAATTTGTATTTCAGATAGTAACAATTTAAACAGATCATTTTAAAACTTAAACCAGAATCAAAAAGCATGCCAATGTAGAGTTGAAAAATCAGGCAAAAAGTAACTTTATTTTCACATGCATTATATTGATAAAGTTTTACTCTATCAATTTCAAAGGTAATAAGACCAGGTCCCTCTTCTTAGGAGCAAAACTATTCTGGATTTGCTCCTGATGAAGAAGGACTTATGTCTGAACTGATAGCTTTATTTACAATATATGCTAAAAATAACTGTTCAGGCTAATTTTAAGTCAAGTCAGTCTTTCTCTTCTTGAATAAAAGAGACATATGTTAAAATTCTTTCAAGATGCAATTAGTGCTTCTCTAAAGTTAATACTTAAAAATTTTTCTAATCCAAGCTTACTAAATTTTTATGTTGGTGCACTTATTTTTGTCTAATAATTCTGAACCATCTTGTTTTCACTTAATCAGACATTCTAAAATTTACACAAAATATATGATAAAATATCATTGAAAATGAAAGATACTTAGCAAAATACTCACTTTTTTCTTAGTTTCAATTTCCGTACAACTTTCAGGAGGAATAACCTGATAAACTCTTTCTTTATTTTTGAAATCTAAAACTGCATCATCTGATATGTCTTTTGATTTACTGTTTTTCATATCCTCATTCTCTTCACTTGAGCCATTTATAATAACATTATCAAAATTGTCTTTTTTTAATTTCTTATTCATAGCATCATTTTTCACAATATCAGAATTGTTCAATTTTCTTTTTTTATCTTCCTCACAACTATTAATACCTTCAAGAATTTTCAGAGAGTCAGAATCAGATTCCAAGCATAAAACAGACATCTTGCTTTGTGATGTATTTGTTGGCTTTACTGACAATTCTTCCTCATCTCCATCCGTTTCCTTCAGACTATCTCTCTGCAGCTCTCTATCTTGAAGCGCTAATAAATAAAATATTTCTTATTTATATGGAATATTAACATGAAAATAAGACAATTTTCAATTACACATAATTAATAATACAGTACAAAGTCTGAAATCCGGACATCCATTATCCGGAATGATCTAAAATCCGGACCTCAAAAACACCACCGTTTACTTGTAGGCTTTACGCATGCACATTTGTTTCCTCCCCCCCCCCCTCTGTGCATAATAAAACATCTGGAGAGTCCCGATTCTTAATTTCACTTCGACACTAAATAAAATACCTTGTTATTGAAGAAACAATCATTTTAGCATAAATTTGTACGATCTGTAATTGGGTTCTGTTGCTAAATATCTGCTTGGCATATCTCAACCCGAAACATTCTACAGATACATCGTTGAGATTTTACACCTACTAATATTTTATACCCCTGACACCTAACCTGGCGAATCATATTATTTATTATACTTTTGCTTTCATCATCGCATGTTTATCAAAACATGACAACTTGAGTAATGGCTATGTAGCGAATATCTAAACAATTTTTTTTATGTTTATTAGTAATTGAATAATAAAGGAGTGTGGTAACCTTTTCTGTTAACATTACGCTTGGCAATGATTAAAGATTTAAGTTAAATGCTCTAAAAAATGTTAACGAGGAAGAATTTACCAAAAATTTCTTGTCATATGCTAAAAATAGATTTTGTTGATGATACTCATAGACCCAAAGATAACATTTAGGGCTATTTGAATTAAGGACAACTGATTTGGTATTCACATAAACCCAGAACCAGCGGCTGGGCTCGTATGGCCGTGCCGAGTTGCAGAATAATAGGACTCACAGAGACTGCATCAGACGGTAAGATATCTAGCACCAGCCCTCATCAAGTATATGGTGAGAATTCTTTTATTCAAAACTCTGATAAGCCTTAAAGCATGTGCAAGAAATGGACATAAATATAATAATTTCACTAATATAATTCATGCTTAATTGTCTCAGTGCGCGATAGAAGTAAGATAAAATTTAATGGAACAACATGTCGTTAGTCGCCAAGCTCATGATGCATAGCCAAACATGTATAGTGAAGAACGGCTAAATTTAATGATAATAGCCACTAAATTTAAAGGTTTTTAGATATCGCCAAACAAAGGTGAAATTTTTCAATTAACAGAAATGTGGAAAAGCGGTAATACACACGGATGATATAAAAGAAGTTTTTTATTTTGATGACAATGCGCCTTGATCGTCAATCAAGGAATGAATGGCGAAATCTGTAGTATGGTTCTATATCCAGAAAATACTGCTACCGATAGTGAAGAAAGTGACAGAGAAGTTACTGAAGATGAGAAAATTTTGATTGATAAGTTAGTCGGAATTCTTGAATTAGCAATTACATGACTTCAACAATGTAACTAAACAAGATATTATGTCCGTCTACAGAATTAAAGAGAAAGTATTAGCACAAAAAATGAAGCAACTTACACAACTTACATTGAAAGAAATGTTTAATAAGGTTAACAAGTAAATATTAAGCTTTTTTTTTTTTGTAAATTTTGCTACCCTTTAGATCATAAATACTTCATTATTTCGTAAATCACGATTTCATATTTTTAATTTTATAATTTCTACATGCCATCTTACTAGATTTAAACTGATTACTTTAATATCCGGAAAAATCCCAAATACGGAATTGCCGAAATCCCGATTTTGGACTTTGTACTGTATATACATATACAGAAACTATCTTACTAAACGAAATACAGATGCACAGCAGTTAAACATTACCACAAAGTAATTATCATACTCTCTTCCCTCATTAATATCATTTAAAAATGTAAGCAGATAATTAGCATTTTAATTAAGGTATTTTTTTTTTTTTACATGCTGCACCAGTTCATTTGCTAAACTAACTCTAATTTATAAAAGGTATCTTGTATTTAAAAAACATTCAGTATCACGAAACCATATCATAAGCACTCTCAAAAGAAAGATGTTTACATAATGTACAGTTTTATCAGAATTTAATGATTTAAATACTAAGAGAAAAGAGTTCACCAAGAATCGCAAATTTCTTCACATTTTCAGCAACTTTTCGTCAACAGCAAATTTATTGTTGATTGCACTGAAAGTCCATTGTAAATTTACTCTTTCCCTGCAAATACCAGGCAAATGACCTCTACACTTCTGAATCTTCAGTATTTTTTTAAATGCAACTGAAGTGAATTAGTGCAGAATATTCGCCCATATGATTAGCCATCAGTAGAAAAATTACTTTTTTTGCTGGCCAGTTTTTCCGCCATAAAAGAAACTTGTTAACCTTGATGAGAATACATTCCAATATCTTTTCCAATATCTTACTCTACGTTGATGCATATCATTTTTAATAAATAAACTAAATTGTATATAATAGAAAGAAATGTTGTCTACAAAATTTCATGTGACCTAAATAGTGCAGTTGAAATAGCCAGCAGGATTACAGCAAATTTTATCTTCTTTCGCATTTATCAATCCACGATTATGAAAAGGGTTAGTATCTGCAATAGCAAAAAAAGTCCTACCCCTCCCCCCTCCTTAAAGACTGTTTTTACACTGATTATGTTATGGCCACAATTCTGTAGTATAATTTTCATTTTAATTTTGTGTTGATTCTTTCTAAGTAATTGTACTATTCTATTTTTGTCATCGATATGAAGTGAAATTCAGAATCCAGAAGTAGGTAGTACTTCTTGATAGTATCCAAATCCAGAAGTAGGTAGTACACAAAAATACATACATAACCAAATATAAATAACCAAAGAAAGGTGGGTGTAATAACCTTGAAAAATTATTATAATAATCTTAAATTAGGCTCATCAAATTATACGGAAAACAAAAGTATTTAAATTTGTAATACATCAGTATTCCATTAGAATAAAATATAGATGTTAATATAAAAGAGGTTCAATAACTGCTTTCTTCCCCCTATTTCTTCTGCATGGCATTTTTTCTACTGTGGAAGAAATTTGCCAACTCTGCTGCTATATAACAACAGAATGACTCCAAAGAAGGCCCCACCTATCCCTCCATCCTTTGTCAAAAAGCCTGCAACATTAATCTGTTAGTACACTGAATTATACAAAGATTAAAACACTGATAACTAGTTAGTTATTTATTTTTTAGAGATGATAATTCATGGTGACACTTAATTGTTATCTTGATAATTGTTTGAATTTTCTGTTGAGAAAGAGTTCAAGTTAATTATTTTTTCTTAATTAAGAAAAATCTGAATTTTATTTAATTCTGTGGATTACTAATTTAAGGTATTTTGTTATCTAAATTCTTATATATTGGGAAAAACCAATGCTTCAATGATATTTTTTCTTTTTATTGAAATTAACCAAGAAGATTTTGTTTCTTTGTGAAAAGATTCAGAAAAAGGGTGACTTTTGCTGCATCATTCTCTTTCAAGGTCTGAGTCATTTAGAACATTCTAAAAAGAAATTTCTTTGTCTCGGTTGCCATGGGTAAAGTGGGTTAAATTAGGGGGTAAATTAGGTTAAAATTTAGGGGGTTAATGTTTCACTTACAACAAAAGGACATTGGTTTTGGGGATAAAGGTGTCCATTTTGGCTTTGGGTCTTGACTGGTTGCACGTGCACAGTTGGGTTGTTTTGTCCTTTTGGGTGACAAAATGGAAATTTGGTCTCTAAAAGGGGGTGAAATTCTAGTTTTTGTGGTAGCCTGTTTTTGTGAAGGAGGATTTTTGAGCTCACGTCACTTTTTTCAGTACTGTCTGAGGTGAGCTTGCTGGTTCAGCTATTAAGGTGGGGATAAGCCGCAATTATGCTCCCTGACCATGCGTTCTACTGAAAGTTCGGGGAACAGGATTTGTGTGACAATCTTCGGAAATAAATGAACGAATCTGAAGACTTTTGACTGGGCTGTCCTTTGAGTAAGTTGGCTTCTTTGGAAGTCTGAGATGCAGTTCTCCGTTGTTAGCGGAATTTTTAATCATGCCTCCCGAATAGTAATCTGCATGAATAAATGCATTTTAGAAATAACTTGTTGACAGAAGTGACTAAAGGAAAAGGTTGCCTCGCACTTTGTCGTAAGTCCTGCTTCATCCAGCTTCTTCATGATAAAAGCAAAATTGAATAGTCCTGTGTTATGCCTCGTTGCTTGTTGCACGGTAGTCTGACCCCATGAGGTATGGAAGAGTGGTTTTAATCACGAGTTCCATATCTGGCTGCATCCAACCATAATGTGTTAATACTACAGCAGATCGTGACTATTGTTCTTCCCTGTAGCCATGTTGATTGAAATATGACTTTCTGCATACCATGGAGAGGTAAAAACCTCATATTCTTCTTGAATGTACTGACCATGTGTTTCTTCAGTTACCTTGGCTGAATTAAGGAGGTATTTCTTCTTCATGATGGAGTTATTCAACTGTTTCTCCCTAATGTCTCAACTTACCTGAATCAGAGGAAACTACCTGAGTGTTCGTCTTCATACTTACTGTCAGGACTTTTCGCGGTCACTCCAGATCCTGAGAGGAAAATTTAAGATATACATAATATAAGAAATTTAAGACTTAATCTAGAGTTTCTTAAAATTTTCTTAGTGTGCACATAATCAGTATATGATAAAAGAGTTTGGCATTGTAATATTTCCTTTGCTGTCCTTTCCTGATGTCTGTATCAATGAAATTTAATTAATTGTTGACCAGCAAAATCAGTTTAACTGTTTTTTCCCATTCTTATTTGCTTATCGTGAAAGTGTTCCTCACTATTAGGAATTATAAATATATTAAAAACCTAATAGCCTCTTATTAAACTTGTATGAACGATAATTTAAAAATTTAATCAGCAAGAGCAATTGATTCACCTAGAAATGAAGTCTTTTGACCTGAATCTTTTCACTTCAAGAAAGTAATTGAGCTGAAAGCTCCCTGTAGTGTAAAACCAATAAGAATGTCAACCTTTTTGAATTTATTGCTTGTCCTAATGTTTAAATACTTACTAAAAAATTTAAAC